TCCTGAAGCACATCGAGCACGTCCCAGCTCTCTACGGGCTCAAGCTCCTTTAAGACAAGAGCTGCCCAAAGAAATGTCCCATTGGCCTTATCGTATATCTGACCTCGAATTATCTCCTGTAGCTCGCCGTCGTCCTCAATAAGTCGGAGTTTGGAAACCTTGAAATCGATAAACAACTGGACAGCGCGAGAGACATGCTCCTTGTTGAGCTCAAGGCTAAGCCTCGTCTGCGTATGATCAAGTCTCAGCCGCGCCTCAATGTTAGGTTCGTTACGGCTTGATACAATCCATTTCACGCGAGTGGATGTTGAGGCAGTTCGACTAATTAGATCCAAAAGCTGGTCAAGATTTGCTTTACATTCATCGAGCGCATCGATGATCAAATAGATGCTCGTCAAGCTTGGGTCTTGTAGAATGCTAGTGAAGATTTCGGATAATGCAACCCATGCGTTTGGATCTTCAAAAAGGGCCTTGCCAGCGTGGTCGTACTTTTTCCGCACATACGAGATGAGCAATGGTTGCTGGTCGATGAGTAGGTAGATAAGACCGCGGAGCGCGGCTGACGCATTATTAATGCGGCCATCGGTAGCCTGGCAGAAGAAGTACGACAATAGTGTGGTTGCCGCTTTGTCTCTTAGCTTCGTCGAAGGGCTCAATTCATCGAGGATGCCGCTAATAAGCATCGTCTTACCTTTACCAGGGTCACCCTTGACCCAGAGTAGCCGGCTCTGTGTATCGTCGCGCCATTGCTGGAAATCGGGATGTTCAAGGATCCATTGGTAAGAGTCTCGCAGTAGCCCGCCCTTCGTGTCTTCAATCCGCTTCTTATCCTCCCGGGGATCTGTTATCCGCAGGTCTTGTATACAACTTTGGCTTTCAGGGTCAAGTGGATTCTGCTCGTCTCCTTTTAAAAAGTGATTAGTAGATAGCTAATAATGAAGCGATTTATTAGGTATTCACCTGTCTGCAATTTCTGGATCTTCTTCTTTAGCCGTCTCAACGCATTTTCCTTTCCTTCGCTGTAGATGAGCGACATATTGACATCAAAAATGCCAAGTAGTGAGTATGCTTTGTCTTCCTGGCGAAAAGTCTCACGACTTGCTGCCCACGATAATCGCTCATCAACGCTGAAATCAGACAAAGGGCTCCCGCGAAGAGCCCTGGCTGGAATGCCTGTTACCTCGCAGATGTATCGTTCTAAGGAGGCCTTATTTCCTAGTAGCTCTCCTTCTTTAGAGAAGAAGTCGACTGATGCCGGCGCAATAAGCTCTTGTAGAGTCCAGCCTCGTTTAAACCATTCACTTTTCCGAAATATCGATACCCAGTCCTCGCAGGTCCTATCAGCCGAATCGGTTCGAGGCCGCGAAACATCTGGCAGATAAACGTAGCACTTAGTCGAATCGCGGTACCAGCGAAACATCGAGTTGATAGCTTCCTGAAGCTCGACAGCATTGGATTTATCAATACAGCAGGTGTCCACCCAAAAGTATTGTAAGCCGTCACGTCCTGCCTGTTCTCCGCAGAACTGTATCTTGCCGTGCCCAGCCTTGCCTTTGCTCGTACCGTCTGTTAGATCCTTGAAAGTGGCCTCCTCTGCTCCCCATCTGTGTGAAAGTATAGCATACTTCTTGGGTATGTCGCCTTCAAAGAACTCGGCCAGGCTGAACCCGCCATCGGTATTGTAGTGTAGCAGACGCATTGTTCGACTAGGTTCGAGGATCGTGAAGTGGAGGGTTCTCGGTAGTAGCTGAGCCGTCGAAGTGGCATATATGCGAAGGGTGAAGAATTTATGTTTGGTTGAGGCTGGCGCACTCAGCTGAGCGGCAGCCTTGCGGTAAAAGCATCGTCGTACATCACTGGAAGCGCGCAAGACTAGCCAGTAGCTCAGGCTGGAATTCTAGATGCCATAGGCATATCAGATTCAAAGCCAATTTCGTTTTAGCATGGTTTGTTTCTGTCATTGTAAAGGAAGCTGAAGAAATAGAGAGTAAGCAATAAAAGTAGAGATCTAGGATCCTGAATTTACCTTCGATCTTTGGGGTTCGATTCTATAGCCTTGAATCTCAGGCAATAGGCTACTGCGTGCGGGGCTGTTCTCCACAAAGATCGTCACTTGCTTCGATCAGAGGTACCGAATCGCGTAGCTGCCAGACTAGTGGCCAGATGTAATACAGCACATGGAGGCGGCCCGTTCCGGCAACAGCCAAAAATGGCCGAGGT